TAGGCGCCCGCCACCATGCCCGGCTAATTTTTTGTATTTTAGGAGAGACAGGGTTTCACCGTGTTAGCCAGGATAGTCTTGATCTCCTGACCTCTGATCTGCCCACCTCGGCCTCCCAAAGTGCTGGGATTGCAGGCATGAACCACCACGCCCGGCCTAAATATTCTTTTTCTTACATCTCTTGTGTATGTGTGTGACATGTAATATTTATATGATGGTTGCATTTTAGTGTCCATAAATAGACTTGCAATACTACCACACTCATTGGTTTGCATAATATTTGTGAGGCTGCTTACTAGATACAACAGGAGTAATTGTGACAGGTTGTATGGCACATGAAGCCTAAAATATTTACTATCTGACCCTTTACAGAAAAGTTTGCTGAACCTTGGTGTAAACAGTGTGTCTTTTGGCAACATGATAATCTGTTTAATCTTAGGCATTTTTGTTCTTTTTTTTTTTTTTTTTTTGAGATGAAGTTTCACTCTTACTGCCCAAGCTAGAGTGCAATGGCATAATCTTGGCTCACCACAACCTCTGCCTCCTGGGTTCGAGTGATTCTCCTGCCTAAGAGGCAGGGTGTCACTTTGTTGCTCAGGCTGGAGTGCAGTGATTCCATCACTGATCAGTTATAGTGTTGAATTTCTATGTTTGTGACCTCGGCCAGTTCACATCTCCTTAGGCAACCTAGTCTAGTGGTCTCCTATTCCCAAGAGATTACCATTTTTTAATTTTTTAAATTTTTTTGAGACGGATTCTCGCTCTGTCGCCAGGCTGGAGTGCAGTGGTGTGATCTCTGCTCACTGCAGTCTCTGCCTCCCAGGTTCAAGCGATTCCCCTGCCTCAGCCTCTCGAGTACTTGGAACTACAGGCGTGCACCACCATGCCTGGCTAATTTTTTTGTGTGTTTTAGTAGAGACGGGGTTTCACCATGTTGGTCAAGATGGTCTCTATCTGACCTCGTGATCCACTTGCATTTGCCTCCCAAAGTGCTGTGATTACAGGCATGAGCCACTGCTCTCGGCCTATTTATTTATTTATTGAGATGGTGTCTCATTTTTTTAACCTGGCTGGGGAACAGTGGCATAATAGTATCTCACTGCAGCCTTGAACTCCCAGTCTCAAGGGGTCCTCTAACCTCAGCCTACCCAGCAGGTAGGACTACAGGTTCATACCACTGCACCTGGCTCATTGTTTTTTCATTCATTCTTTTACTGAATTTACAAAGAAATATTGTATATATTTATCGTGTACAATATGAAGTTTTCAAATGTGTATATACTGTGTAATTGGAGTTATCATTCTTTTTACAATTAATGTCAATGGAAACACTCCACTGTCTCAATTCCTGTGGTATGTCTGATGAGCTGTTTCAAGGTTTTTCAAAATTAGTCTGTAGTCGCAGCTTCTCTAGAGGCTGAGGCAGGAGACTTGCTTGAGCCCAGCACTCCAAAATCAGGCTTGGCAACATAGAGAGACCCTGTCTCTACAAAAAATAGGAAAAATATAAATTAACCAGACATGGTTACAGGCGCCTGTAGACCCAGCTACTCAGGAGGGTGAGGTAGAAGGATAACTTGAGCCTGGGACTTCGAGGCTACAGTGAGCCGTTATCGTGCCACTGCACTCCAGCCTGGGGAACAGAGTGAGACCTTGTCTCAAAAAAAAAAAAAAGAAAAGACAGTAGATAAATAAGGATTAGAGGAGGGAATAGAGAGCTATTGCTTAAACAGGGCACAGCATTTCTCTTTGGGGTTTTGAAAATGCTCTGGAAGTAGAGAATGGCTATGGTTGCATAACAGTACAAATAAACTAAAAACCACTGAATTGTACACTTTTCTTCTTCTTCTTCTTCTCCTTCTTCTTCTTCTTCCTCCTCCTCCTCCTCCTCCTCCTCTTCTTCTTCTTCTTCCCCTTCCTCTTCCCCTTCCCCTTCTCCTTCTTCTTCTTTCTTCTTCTTCTGAGTTTCACTCTTGTTGCCGGGGCAGGAGTACAATGGCACAATCTTGGTTCACTGCAACCTCTGCCTCCCGTGTTAAACGATTCTCCCGCCTCAGCCTCCTGAGTAGCTGGGATTACAGGCACCCGCCACCACGTCCAGCTAATTTTTGTATTTTTAGTAGAGAAGGGTTTTGCCATGTTGGCCAGGCTGGTCTTGAACTCCTGACCTCAGGTGATCCGCTTGTCTAGGCCTTCCAAAATGCTAGGATTACAGGTATGAGCTACCACGCGCAGCTGAATTGTATACTTTTCAACTGTAAAGTGATGGATTTCATGTCATGTAAATTCATCTCAATAAGAAAAATTAGGTTGGGTGCAGTGGCTCGTGCATGTAGTCCCAGCACTTTGGGAGGTCAAGGTGAGCAGACCACTTGAATCCAGGAGTTTTGAGACCAGCCTGGGCAACATGGTGATATCCTGTCTCTACAACAAATACAAAAAAATTAACCAGACATGGTGGTACGTACCTGTGGTCCCAGCTTACTCGGGACGCTGAGCTAGGAGGAACATGTAAGCCTGGGAGGTTGAAACCGCAGTGAACCGTGATTGTGCCACTGCACTCACTCCTTCCTTTGACAGAGTGAGACCCTGAGAAAGGAAGGAGGGAGGGAGGGAGGGAGGAAGGAAGGAAATTGAAACTATAGCAGTTACTTTAAAGACCCAAACACTAAAAATAACCCAATGCCCATGTCCAGCAGAAAGAATGATAACCTTGTTATGTATTTAATCAGTGAACTTACTATACAATGAGAATGGACTATAAGTATACTTAACAACTCATTTTGTGAAAATTTAAAAAGCTGTATACTTGTGATTTGTACACCTTTCTATGTGTATGTTCTATTTGAAAACAGTTTGTGTCAAAATAATAGGTATGTCCAGGCATGGTGGCTCACACCTGTAATGCCAGCACTTTGGGAGGCTGAGGTGGGCAGATCACCAGTGGTCAGCCTGGCCAACATGGTGAAACCCATCTCTATTAAAAATACAAAAATTAGCTGGGTGTGGTGGCGGGCACCTGTAATCCCAGCTACTTGGGAGGCTGAGGAGGAAAATTGCCTGAACCCAGGAGGCAGAGGTTGCGGTGGTCTGAGATCATACCACTGCACTCCAGCCTGGGCAACAGAGCAAGACTCTGTCTGAAAAAAAAAAATAATTAATTAAAACATATAATAAAAATAAATAAAATAGATATTGTCTAATGAACATTACTGATGTAAAAGTAGTTTAAATTGTGGGTTTTTTTGTTGTTGTTGTTGTTTGTTTGTTTTTTTTTTTTGAGACGGAGTCTCGCTCTGTCGCCCAGGCTGGAGTGCAGTGGCCGGATCTCAGCTCACTGCAAGCTCCGCCTCCCGGGTTCACGCCATTCTCCTGCCTCAGCCTCCCGAGTAGCTGGGACTACAGGCGCCCGCCACCTCGCCCGGCTATTTTTTCGTATTTTTTAGTAGAGACGGGGTTTCACCGTGTTAGCCAGGATGGTCTCGATCTCCTGACCTCGTGATCCACCCGTCTCAGCCTCCCAAAGTGCTGGGATTACAGGCTTGAGCCACCGCGCCTGGCTTGTTTTTTGTTTTTTTAAGAGATAGTCTCACTCAGTCACCCAGGCTAGAGTGCAATGACACAATCTTGGCTCACTGCAACCAACACCTCTCAGATTCAAGGGATTCTCCTGCCTCAGCCTCCCGATTAGCTGGGACTATAGGTGCCTACCACCATGCCTGGCTAATTTTTTTTGTATTTTTAGTAGAGATGAGGTTTCACCATATTGGCCAGGGTGATCTCAAACTCCTGACCTTGTGATCTGCCTGCCTCAGCCTCCCAAAGTGCTGGGATTATAGGCATGAGCCACTGGGCCCAGCCTATAGTTTAAATTTTTTAAATTATTATTTATTTTTTATTTTTTGAGATGGAGTCTTGCTCTGTCACCAGGCCTGAGTGCAGTAGAGCAATCTCGCCTCACTGCAACCTCTGCCTCCTAGGTCAAGTACAGACGTGGCCTAGTTTAAATTTTTACTTGGAGGCCAAGGTGAGTGGATTGCTGGAGCCCACAAGTTAGAGAACAGCTTGGGCAACATAGTAAGACCCTGTCTCTACAAAGAAACTTTTTATTTTAATTTTTTTTTAACTTTAAAAATACTATTTGGGGGAAAAATGAACACATCAAAATATTAGCAGGTATGATATTTTGATAGTTCTGTGGGGGTTGTTTTTGTTTGTTTGTTTGTTTGTTTGAGACAGAGTCTTGCTCTGTCGCCCAGGCTGGAGCACAGTGGCATGATCTTGGCTCACTGCAACCTCCGTTTCCCGGGTTCAAACGATTCTTGTGTTTTAGCCTTCCAAGAAGCTGGGACTACACCACGTCCTGCTAATTTTTGTAGTTTTAGTAGAGACAGGGTTTCCCCATATTGGTCATGCTGGTCTTGAACTCCTGACCTCGTGATCTGCCCACCTCGGCCTCCCAAAGTGCTGGGATTACAGGTGTGAGCCATCACCCCTGGCCTTTGCTTTTGTTTCTTGGAGAAGAGGTCTCACTTTGTCACCCAGGCTGGAATGTAGTAGCACAGTTCTGGCTCATTGGAACCTCCACCTCCTGTGCTGAAGCGATGTTGTCACCATCAGCCTCCCGAGTAGCTGGGGCTGCAGGTGTGCATCACCATACCTGACTAATTTTTTTTTTGTATTTTTGCTGGAGACTGGGTTTCACCATCTTGCTCGGGCTGGTCTTGAACTCCTGGGCTCAAGCGATCCTCCCATCTTGTCCTCCCAAAGTGCTGGAATTACAGGTGTTGAGCCACTACGCCTAGCCTAGTTGTCTTTTCTTTTTGTATATTATGCCCTTTTGGTATTTTATGACTTCACTGAACATGTGAAAAGCGAAAATAATATTTTAGGCTGTATCCACAAGGGCTTTACATTTACTTGCTATTACATTTTAATCTTCTTATGGCTGTTATTCAGATATTTAAGTAGATGACATGAGTAATTTCTGTATTTTACAGGCAGATTTTGACAACAAACCAGTAAATGGCCCCAAGTCAGAATCCATGGACTACAGTAGATGTGGTCATGGGGAAGAACAAAAATTGGAATTGAACCCACATCCTGTTGAAAATGTAACTAAAAATGAAGACAGCATGACAGGCATCGAGGTGGAGAAGTGGACACAAAACAAGAAATCACATTTAACTGATCATGTGAAAGGAGATTTTAGTGCTAATGTCCCAGAAGCTGAAAAATCGAAAAACTCTGAAGTTGACAAGAAACAAACCAAATCTCCAAAATTGTTTGTACAAACCATAAGAAATGGCATTAAACATGTACACTATTTACCAGCTGAAACAAATGTTTCATTTAAAAAATTCAACATTGAAGAATTCGGCAAGACATTGGAAAACAGTTCTTATAAATTCCCAAAAGACACTGCAAACCATAATAACGCTATGAGCTCCGTTGCTACTGATATGAGTTGTGATCATCTCAAGGGGAGAAGTAACGTTTTAGTTTTCCAGCAGCCTGGCTTTAACTGCAATTCCATTCCACATTCTTCACACTCCAACATACATCGTCATGCTAGTATACACAATGAAGGTGATCAACCAAAAACTCCTGAGAATATACCAAGTAAAGAACCAAAAGATGGATCTCCCGTTCAACCAAGTCTCTTATCGTTAATGAAAGATAGGAGATTAACATTGGAGCAAGTGGTAGCCATAGAGGCCCTGACTCAACTCTCAGAAGCCCCGTCAGAGAATTCCTCCCCATCAAAGTCAGAGAAGGATGAAGAATCAGAGCAGAGAACAGCCAGTTTGCTTAATAGCTGCAAAGCTATCCTTTACACTGTAAGAAAAGACCTCCAAGACCCAAACTTACAAGGAGAGCCACAAAAACTTCATCACTGTCCATCTTTGGAAAAACAAAGTTCATGCAACACGGTGGTTTTCAATGGGCAAGCCAACTCACATATCAGCTCAGCTACTAACCAAGCATCCACAAAGTCACATGAATATTCAAAACTCACCAATTCATTATCTCTTTTTATACCAAAATCAAATTCACCCAAGATTGACACCAATAAAAGTATTGCTCAAGGGATAATAACTCTTGACAATTGTTCCAATGATTTGCATCAATTGCCACCAAGAAATAATGAAGTGGAGTATTGCAGCCAGTTACTGGACAGCAGCAAAAATTTGGACTCAGATGATCTATCATGTCAGGATGCAACCCATACTCAAATTGAGGAAGACGTTGCAACACAGTTGACACAACTTGCTTCAATAATTAAGTTCAATTACATAAAATCAGAGGACAAAAATGTTGAAAGTACACCAACAAGCCTTGTCACGTGTAATGCACAGCAAAAATACAATCAGGAGAAGGGCACAATACAACAGAAACCGCCTTCAAGTGTACACAATAATCATGGTTCATCATTAACAAAGCAAAAGAACCCAACCCAGAAAAAGACAAAATCCACCCCATCAAGAGAACGGCGGAAAAAGAAGCCCACAGTTGTAAGTTATCAAGAAAATGATCAGCAGAAGTGGGAAAAGTTGTCCTATATGTATGGCACAATATGCGACATTTGGATAGCATCGAAATTTCAGAATTTTGGGCAATTTTGTCCCCATGATTTTCCTACTGTATTTGGGAAAATTTCTTCCTCAACCAAAATATGGAAACCACTGGCTCAAACGAGGTCCATTATGCAACCCAAAACAGTATTTCCTCCACTCACTCAGATAAAATTACAGAGATACCCTGAATCAGCAGAGGAAAAGATGAAGGTTGAACCATTGGATTCACTCAGCTTATTTCATCTTAAAACGGAATCCAACGGGAAGGCATTCACTGATAAAGCTTATAATTCTCAGGTACAGTTAACGGTGAATGCCAATCAGAAAGCCCATCCTTTGACCCAGCCCTCCTCTCCGCCTCACCAGTGTGCTAACGTGATGGCAGGCGATGACCAAATACGGTTTCAGCAGGTTGTTAAGGAGCAACTCATGGATCAGAGACTACCAACCTTGCCTGGTATCTCTCAAGAAACACCCTTACCGGAGTCAGCACTAACTCTCAGGAATGTAAATGTAGTGTGTTCAGGTGGAATTACAGTGGTTTCTACCAAAAGTGAAGAGGAAGTGTGTTCATCCAGTGTTGGAACATCAGAGTTTTCCACAGTGGACAGTGCACAGAAAAATTTTAATGATTATGCTATGAACTTCTTTACTAACCCTACAAAAAACCTAGTGTCTGTAACTAAAGATTCTGAACTGCCCACCTGCAACTGTCTTGGTGAGTACTTGTGTGGATGTGTTCTTATTTCACCTGCACAAATTACCTCAATCATGACAAGCAAATTCTGATTCATCTCTTTTTGTGTGATATTTTTTCCCCATTCTTACTCTAACTAAGATGGATTAAGTAAATCTATAACCATTTTTCTGTGGGACCTTTTGGTTCTGCTCACAAGAATGGAATATTCAACTTATAATTTGGAAAAACAAATTTGGAAAAAGTAAACCTGCTGAAGTGGAGAAATAGGCTGATATTTCTCTCAAGGCTGAATGTCTGTCAATTTATTGTGCGTAGCATGAGAATGAATTTCCTAGGCCAGGTACAGTGGCTCTTGCCTGTAATCCCAACACTTTGGGAGGCCAAGTCAGATGGATCACTCGAGGTCAAGAGTTCGATACCAGCCTGGCCAACATGGTGAAACCCTGTATCTACTTAAAATTCAAAAATTAGTTAAGCATGGTGGTGCACACCTGCAATCCCAGCTACTCAGGTGGCTGAAGCAGGAGAATCACTTGAACCCAGGAGGCAGAGGTTACAGTGAGCCAAGATTGCACCACTCCCCTCCAGCTTGGGCAATAGAGCGAGACCCTGTCTCAAAAAAAAAAAAAAAAGAAAGAGATAACTTAATAGTTTATTACGGTTTATTTATTTTTCCTATATTCAAACAAATTTCAACTTACAAGACTTTCATTATATTTTTTTGTGTGTGAAATAGAAGATACGTATAGAGAATGTAAAACATATGTATTAAGTTAACAGTTATAAAATATATAGCTGGCAGTTGCCGTCCTACTCTAGAATTGAAGCTGGTTTATGTCTTTTTCAGTGTCTAGTGCTTTTATGCTCTATCCAGTACAAGATCTAATACTGTCTTTTTTGTCCAAAGAGCACTTGATATTCTGAAATAATATATTTCTATTTCTCTGCAATACAAAGTGTACCTGCGTATAATGAAATTCCATAATCTTGGCCACTTGAAGAATTCATAAACCTTTTTGAATTTTAACATATTAACAAATTTGTTTAATACTGATTTCCTATTTCAAAAAATCAAAGAATAACCAGTGTGCTAACATGAGTCATGTGCTAATAGCTGACTCATGGACTGATCCCTAACCAATGTATTTCTACATTTTTGTGCCTTAGGAGTCATTGAAAGAGAACATTCTGAACCAATTAGTTTTAGTAGTGTGTTAAAAGCTCTGAGAAAATCTTGCTGGGTAAAGATTCTCAGGCAGATCTTATGAGAAATTTCCTCAGTATTTGAAACATGTGAAAGCTTAATTTGAATCCTGTACTGATTAGTTACTGTGTGTGGTCAAATTTCAGGTAAGCACTCTTCTAAGAAACCTGTTGACTCTAATATAGCTGTAAAAAATAGGGAAATTAAATAGATTGTGTCATTAAAGTTCGTTAGGCTGCTTGAAGCCCCATTATTTTGTTTACCATACAACTATGATAGAATAAATTTTTTGTGAAAAAATCTGTTTTGAACCTCATCCAAATAGGTTTAGTTATTAGAAGTCTTACTTAAAATATGGCTCCAAATCACAAAGACTCAAGATTTGCCTTGACCAAAGGTGATGTTTTTATTAGAAGTGGGTGGTTCAATGGGAAGGATAAGTACATCACACTGATTTTTTAACAACAGTAGAAAAAATAGTGTTGTGTAGTAATAATAATACTGAATTCTTGTTTTTCCAAAGTACAGATTGTTCTGAAATAATATCCTTCCATTTCTCTGCTCATTGTTCAATACATAATGTTTTTTAGGTTTTTGTTTTGTTTGTTTGTGGATATAGGGTCTCACTTTGTTACTCAGACTGGTCTTGAACTCCTGGGCTCAAGTGATCCTCGTGCCTCAGCTTCCTAAAGTGCTGGGATTACAGGCGTGAACCACCACACCAGCTAACGCACAGTTTTGACAAACTACCATGTGCCGGTTACCAAGGATAGGCTGTTCTGAGAAGAATCTCACAATTTGGAAAGAGTGACAATGCTGTCTAGTGGAGTTGAATTGGGAGAACAAGGTTCTTGAATTAAGGAGAGAAGAATATAATCATGATAATGGCTTCCATTCTGGAGCTCTTACTACAAGTCTGATATTGTGCCTTGCCTTGACTTGTAATGTTCACAGCAACTCTTCAAAGGGAGGGCTTTTATCCCCATTATACAAATGCAGAAACCAAGGCACAGAGAATTTCATAGCTGTCCAGTGACTGAACTGGGACTCAGAGACAGCAGTCTCAACTCCAAAACCAATCCTTATAACGTACACTCTGGTGCTTAATAAATGTGAATTATATAAGAGAGAACACTTTTCGGCCGGGTGCAGTGGCTCACGCCTGTAATCCCAGCACTTTGGGAGGCTGAGGCGGGCAGGTCATGAGGTCAGGAGATTGAGACCATCCTGGCTAACACGGTGAAACCCCATCTCTACTAAAAAATACAAAAAGTTAGCCGGGCATGGTGGTGGGCGCCTGTAGTCCCAGCTAATCGGGAGGCTGAGGCAGGAGAATGATGTGAACCTGGGAGGCAGAGCTTGCAGTGAGCCGAGATCGCGCCACTGCACTCTAGCCTGGGCGACGTAGCAAGACTCCATCTCAAAAAAAAAGGAAAAGGTTGGGGGAGAGAACACTTTTCTAAATATCCTTACAAATGGAAATAACGCCTGTAGTTCAACAAATACGAGCCTTTAAAGTTTATATACCTGAGCTAGACTGCTTTTTCTACGTGCATGGTTCTAAAAGGATGATTGTCTAGTTTGAAGACCCTTTCCTTATGCAAAATAACTAGTCACAGCATACAGGAATAGACAGCTGGGCATTCAGAGTTGAATAAGTACCTGCAGTGGACTCAGCTGTTTTTGGTGTAGAATTTCATGGCTAGAAATTCATGAAATGCAGAAATTCCCCAGTAATTCTTGTTACACATGAGTCTAAGGGGCCAAGTTAAAAATAGCATTTTTTAAGAAACAAAATTCATGCTCACAAAAATTCAAGTGGTGCAGAAATATGATGCAAACATCTTCCCATACTCCCATTCTATACAAAAGAACATTATTGATTTTAATTTTGTTTCCATTTTTACAAACATTTAAAACAATCTTTCTACTTGGTTTTCTAATATAATGATATCATGGATTTTTAAATGTTTTATAAATATTATTGTTTCAATCGATTTATTGTATTCCACTATATAAACATCCCATAATTTATTTAAACCACATGTTATTGACAGATGTTAGGAGTGTTTTGCTCTTTTTGATATTACAAATATTGGTAACAAGGAACATTCTTTTGTAATTGTGCAAGTGTGTAGATGAATAAAATTGTCTGCAATGAAATTGCTCAATTTTTTAATAGGATTCTGAGGGCAACCTTTAACATTGTTCTTGGATAACTTTTAATATCACACCTCAATTAATACAGATTTTTTTTAAGCAGGAGATAGGAGTATAAATATGACCCACATCTTAAAATATTTTTTTTCTCCTCTGATTTTCAGAGGAAGAAAGAATTCGTTAGGGGCAGGAAGAAAGGAACATTAAAAGTTAAATTCCATGGGCTATTGTCCTTGACTTTAATTATCAAGTCTTACCAAAACCTTGTCAAGATTCGTGGTTCTGAATTGAGGGGGAACAAAAAGTATAAAAATAGCTTCTCCTGTCCCCTATGCAATTCTGTAAAGCTTTGGGTCTAATAATCTTATTCCTTCCACAGATCGAGTTATACAAAAAGACAAAGGCCCATATTATACACACCTTGGGGCAGGACCAAGTGTTGCTGCTGTCAGGGAAATCATGGAGAATAGGTGAGGAAATACGCTTCCCTGTTAAAATCATTTTTACTGTGAATCTGACTCAATGGAGATAAATCATCTCTAAGAACAAACGCCGTGATTGAAAAACATTCAGGAGTATGGGTTGGATGTTTCTTAGGGCCCAACAAAAGAGGGGTGTCCTCATGTCCCTACTGAGCCACCCATCATACAAGCTGTTGGGCACATAAAAGAGCACCCACAAAACAAGACTAATTGTCTTTGATAAATTCAGAAGTACTTTTTATATTATTGTATAATGGTAGAAATAGGTCAAATTACCACCCTTGACACTGCATACCCTACATTCCCATTGCTTGTCTTGCAGTCAGCCTATTTTTTAAAGAGTGATCTTTAAGGATAAGTGAGTAGGACTGGTTAACAAATTAAAATACCTGCCACACAAAAGCAAATGTTTAACAAAAGTAAATTATGAGGAGTGTTTGATTTTTGAGCTTCTGTACATCTATATCTTAAATACATTAAGATCTTCAAAGCCAAAGCCTTCAAGTACAGATTGCAATTAATTAGTACATTCCCTTCACTGTGTTTTATACTCAGGTATGGTCAAAAAGGAAACGCAATAAGGATAGAAATAGTAGTGTACACCGGTAAAGAAGGGAAAAGCTCTCATGGGTGTCCAATTGCTAAGTGGGTAAGTATTTCCTGTTTATATATATTTTTTTGAAGCTTGTTATTCCAGAGCTGATATTTATACTTTTACAACAGCCAGAGTGACCTTTATTTTATTTATTCATTTGTTTATTTAATTTCTGAGACAGAGTCTTGGTTGCCCCAGCTGGATTGCAGTGGTGCAATCACACCTCACTGCAGCCTTGATCTCCCAGGCTCAAGCAATCTTCCCACCTTGGTCTCCCAAGTAGTTAAGACTATAGGCACTTGCCACCAAACCCAGCAATTTTTTGTTTTTTTTTTTTAAGTGAAGAGGAGGTCTTGCTACATTGCCCAGGCTGGTCTCAAACATCTGAGCTCAAGTGATCCTCCCGCCTCAGTCCCCTAAAGTGCTGGGGTTACAGGCGTGAGCCACTATGCTTGGCCAGATTTTTTGATAGATTTTCAAGAAAATTGGTCATTTGTGATGAAAGTTGCAAATATATTTTCTCAGTTTGTTGTGGTTTTACCAGTTAGTTTTTTTTTTTTTTTTAACTGTAATCAGTTTTTCATCTTTTATAGCTTTAGGATATTGTGTCTTAATTAGAAAAACCTTTACCACTTGTAGGTTATAAATCTCTCATTTCCTTTTGTAGTATTTTAATGATTTTATTTTATTTTTCTATATTGAAGTATTTTATATTTATCCTGGTTTAGAGTATTGGTAGCTATGTATACTTCTCCAGATGGCTACTCAGTTATCCAACACCACTCATTTAATTGTACATCTCTTCATTATTGATGTGTATTTGCTTATATGTGTAGATTCCCTATTGTGTTAAATTATTGTCTTTAATCAGCATGAGATTGCTCTATTTAGATTTTATAATGTTTCCATGTCTAATAGGCTAATTCCTTTTAATTTTTCAAAAGTGGTCTGACCATTCTGGTTTATTTTATCATATTAATGTATAAACACCATGTTTCATTACAAGAATAAAATCCTATTGGTATTTTTATTGGAATCATATTAATAGAATTTGGAGAATTTACATATATTTTCATGTTCAGTCTTCCTATTCCACATATTGCATCTTTCCATTTGCGTATGCCTTCTTTTGTCCTTGAGCACTGTTTTAAGATAGAATTTATTTAAGGTAGAATTTACATGTTTCTTGTTTTTGTACATATTTCTCTTGTGTATCCTCTAATACAGTTAGTCCAACAGACTAACTCTAATTTTATATTGCTTTAGTAATGATGGTCTCCTTACTTTGTTTCTCTCTTCCCATGGGGATATTTCCAGAGTTTTCCCATTAAGTGTGGGTTGTTGGCTGGAACGGTGGCTCACGCCTGTAATCCCAGCATTTTGGGAGGCTGAGGCAGCCAGATCACCAGAGGTCAGGAGTTCGAGACCAGCCTGGCCAACATGGTGAAACCCTGTCTCTACTAAAAATACATAAAATAGCTGGGCATGGTGGTGGGCACCTGTAGTCCCAGCTACTTGGGAGGCTGAGGCAGGAGAATCGCTTGAACCCGGGAGGCAGAAGTTGCAGCAAGCCAAGATCAGGCCAATGCACTCTAGCCTGGGCAACAAGAGCAAAACTCTCCAAAAAAAAAAAGCGTGGGTTGTCAGGGAATGCGTTTCAGGGAAGGTAACATTTAAGCTGAGAAAGGAGTGACAAAAAGGAACTAAGTACGCAGAGGATATGCAGGGAGTAGCACTCCTAAGCAGAGAAAACAGCACGAACAAAGGTCTTGGGTTAAGAAATAAGAGTACATTAAAAAAATCTAAGCAGAGTCATTTGAAATTAAGGGGATAGGCTGGGCGCAGTGGCTCACACCTGTAATCCCAGCACTTTGGGAGGCCGAGGGGGGCAGATCACCAGAGGTCAGGAGATCGAGCCCATCCTGGCTAACATGGTAAAACTATTTCGTGTCTACTCGAAATAAAAAAAATAGCTGGATGTGGTGGCGCGAGCCTGTAGTCCCAGATACTCTGGAGGCTGAGGCAGGAGAATCGCTTGAAACCAGGAGGTGGAGGTTGCAGTGAGCCTAGGTCAAGCCACTGCACTCCAGCCTGGGCGACAGAGTAAGACTCTGTCTCAAAAAAAAACCCAAAATAGGCCGGGCGCGGTGTCTCAAGCCTGTAATCCCAGCACTTTGGGAGGTCAAGATGGGCGGATCACGAGATCAGGAGATTGAGACCATCCTGGCTAACATGGTGAAACCCCGTCTCTACTAAAAAAATACAAAAAACTAGCTGGTCGAGGTGGCGGGCGCCTGTAGTCCCAGCTACTTGGGAGGCTGAGGCAGGAGAATGGTGTAAACCCGGGAGGCATAACTTGCAGTAAGCTGAGATCCGGCCACTGCACTCCAGCCTGGGCGACACAGCGAGACTCCGTCTCAAAAAAAAACAAAAAACCAAAAACGAAAAACGAAATTAAGGAGATAGTTAATAGAACTGGGTGGGGGTAAAAAGGTGAATGATTTTGTAGGCCATAGTGAGGAGCTGCGGTTTTAGCCCATGAGTAACATGAAAACTTATAAGTATTTTAGATAGAGATGTGTTATCTGGCTTATGTTTTATATATAGTATTTAAGGAATTAACTGATAAAACCTGTATTCTTTATCTGTCACTGTTCAGCATCTTTGAATAGTAAACAGGTATTATCTCTTCATTTTTAGTGGGTTAGGAATCCAAGTGGTGCCTCTGGCATAGGCTCCTGTGAAGATGCAATCATCTGAAAACTTGACGGGGGGGAAGGTGGTGCAGCTAGAGGACCCAATTCCAAGCTCTCTTACAGGAGACCTTAACTCTTTGATGGCTGTTGGCTGGAGGCCTCAGTTCCTCCTCATCTTAAATGTTTTCATAACACAGCAGCTTGGTTTCCCCCAGAGTGAGTGGATCAAAAGAGAGCAAGGAGGAAACTAGTGTCTTTTATCACCTCGAGAGGTTGAGGCCAGGAGATCAAGGTCACAGTGTACTATGGTGGCTCCTGTGAATCCATAGCCAGCCACTGCACTCCAGCCTGAGTAGCATAGCAAGACCCCACATCACTTTACGAAAAAAAAAAAAAGAAAAAAAACAAAAGAAAATCAACTAGATTCTCAGAAGCCACAGTTATAAATCTCCCATCCTGGCTTTGTGGTAATAATTTTCTTGCTCTCCACCTTTCCCTGCTAGTTATATATTTCTCAAACAGTACAGTTTTATTTTGTTTTGTTCTTTTGTGTCTGGCCTATCCATAGTACCTTGTATATTTGAAATAAATCACACAATTGGTTCCCAATATCTGGGGCTGATAGTTGTTACAGATTTGTTGAGCTGTATCTGTTAGCTATTTCTGAATTGTTCACTTCTTTGTCTATTAAGTGGCAAGTAATGAATATGTCCTCGTGATGTGGCAGCTGGCTTCTCCTACAGTGAGTCCGAAGGAAAGGCAACTAGGCTTATTGGTGGGATTGGGGGTGATTTCTTTTTCCTGTCTTTAAAACCTTTTCTAATATAATAATAATGACAGTGATATAAATAATTGTAATGTATAGTTTTTTGGGTTTTTCTTTTTCCTTAAGAAGGCAAATATAAACCCTGTAGTTTAAAGATTTTGGTAGCAACTTTCTATTTAGTATTTTTCCCTAGTGAAACTTTATTTGTTGCTTTTGGATATCCATCTATCTGTGTTACCTGAACTAGAGTGCACTAACCCAGGGGACCCCAACCCCTGGGCCATGGGCCAATAAAAACCTGACTTCACGGCAGGAGGTGAGCGGCAGGACAGCAAGTGAAGCTTCATCTGTATTTTCAGCCACTCCTCATTGCTAGTATTACCACCTGAGCTCTGAGTCCTGTCAGATCAGCAATGAGATTAGATTGTTATAGGACTGCAAACCCTCTTGTCAACTGTACATGTGAGGGATGTAGGTTGTGCTTTCCTTATGAGAATCTGATGCTTGATGATCTGTCACTGTCCCCCCTCACTCCCAGATGGGACCGTCTAGTTTTAGGAAAACAAGCTCAGGGCTACCTCTGATTCTTTATTATGACGAGTTGTATAGTTACTTTATTACATATTACAATGTAATAGTAATAAAAATAAAGTGCACAATAAATGTAATGCACTTGAATCATCCCAAAACCTCTGCCCCTGGCCCCACCTCCGTGGAAAAATTGTCTTCCATGAAATGGGTCCCTGGTGTCAAAAAGGTTGGTGATCACTGCACTAACACAATCATAGCTCACTGCAGTCTTGAACTCTCAGGCTCGAGTGATCCTCCCATGTCAGCCTGTGAAGTAGCGAGGACTATAGGGGTGTGCCACCATGCCTGGTTAATTTTTTTCTTATTTTTTGTAGAGTCGAGGTTTGCTATGTTGCCCAAGCTTGTCTTGAACTCCCAGCCTCAAGCCTCTGCCTGCCCCAGGCTCCTAAAGCCATGAGATTATAGGTGTGAGCCACCATGCCCAGCAGCAACATTCTATTTAAATCCTTAAGGTTATTAGGTACAAGAGGTATTTGGCATTTTTCGTGAAGCACGTGTATTTAAATTGCTCTTATTTTCTCTTGTGCAATATGTCTTCTCAGAATGAGAATACCTTAGTGTATACTAATGTATACCTGGCTCTTTTCACAAATGCAAAAATAATCCAATGATAAGAAATGAAATAAAGCGCAGCTGCTGAGCAACGTAATGAAAAATTTTCTGTCTACTAATGACGATTCAAAAGTGTAATCTTGGTAACAAAACCAAGCAATACTATTGCATTTCTATGAAAATAAAATAAGTTTTTTTGGTTGTTTTTTTCATTTTTTTGTTTTGTTTGTTTGTTTGAGACGAAGTCTCGCTCTGTCACTGAGGCTGGAGTGCAGTGGCGCGATCTCGGCTCACTGCAAGCTCCGCCTCCTGGGTTCACGCCATTCTCCTGCCTCAGCCTCCGGAGTAGCTCAGACTACAGGTGCCCGTCACAACGCCCGGCTGTTTTTGTATTTTCAGTAGAGGCGGGGTTTCACCGTGTTAGCCAGGATGGTCTCCATCTCCCCACC